CATATATATATATATATATATATATATATATATATATGTATATATATATATATATATAACTGACTAGTTCACTTTTATTAAAATGTTCAAAGTTTAATTCAATAATAATGTCCAGTCCACAGTAATGACCATGATTTCTACTTGATTTGAATTAAAACTGTTTTCTAACTCATTTTGAACCTGCATCACACTGCTCGCCTACAGGGAGAAATGTGGACAGGATGAGTTTTCCCCAATTTTCTAAACTACTTCTCGTCTACTGCTGTAGACATACATGTGCTTCTGGCAATTCTGTGGTTGAACTAGAATTCCAAGAGGAGGTAAAAAGCTTGTCCTGTTGTGAGAATCCAGAATTGGTGTTCTCTGATTTCTAGGATTTTAGAATTTGAATTTTAGAATTTGCCTCTCTTTGTATCCAAGTCTGTGGTCCGGGATATTACATATTACATATTACCCCTCCCTCTCCCTGAAGCTGGCATCCATTTCTGCCTGTTTCTCTGATAAATGTCTCTCTTCTCATTGGCATGTATAGTTACATCTGCATGTTCTTTCTGCTGAGGTTTCTCCCTACTCCAGCCAGTCTTTTAGGAAGAGCTAAGTGAATTGCACACCAGCTCTGATTCTTGATCTTCCTTTCATGCTATGTATCTTCGGGTCATAAGGGAAATATAAGTGTATCTTTTTACTTCACATATCCAGAAGGGCAGACCATATGCAAAGAGGGGAGTTCTCATTACACAACATTTGGGGGAGCTGGCCAGCTGTCCTCCTTAGATCTTGGTTTTGATTAAACATCATTGAATCTAGGTGGTTCTACTGAATCATCCTTTCCTGGACTTGTGTGAAGAGGTCAGATACGTAAGATAGCTTTTTCTAAACTGATTTCCTGGTTTTCAGCTTCCCTCTCTCCAATTTTAAAACATCTCTTTTGTCATTAAGCTGAGGGTACCAGACTGGTTCTTGGCTTCCTCTTCTGCATATGGGAATGGTTGGTTTCTCTTGTCTTTGGGCTTCAGCTAAAACCAAGACAGAAAGACTCCCATTTTAAGAAAATAGTTTTAGGTCGTGTCTATACAGTTCTCCAAAGGTGTTTTTTTGTTTGTTTGTTTACAGAAGTAAAAGGAAAGAAGGGGGTAAAAGTATACATAAGTGTGGTTAACATAAATTATCTTTTTTTTTTTTTCTTAAAGATTTTATTTATTTATTTGACAGATAGAGATCACAAGTAGGCAGAGAGGCAGGCAGAGAGAGAGAAGGAAGCAGGCTCCCTGCCGAGCAGAGAGCCCGATATGGGGCTCGATCCCAGGACCCTGGGATCATGACCTGAGCCGAAGGCAGAGGCTTTAACCCACTGAGCCACCCAGGCGCCCCAACATAAATTATCTTAAGCCAGAATTTCACCCAAAATATATAGCTATTCCCCCAATGCCTTCTTAGACCAGGGAAGTAGCTGAGTGAGCTACCTAATGGGAGAAGTTAGAAGAGATTCTAAAACAAACAAACAAACAAACAAACAAACAAACAAAGGGCCTTTTCAGAATAGCTTCCAGAGGTCCCTGGGGTTGTTACCAATCTAGTCACAAGGAAAAAGAGACCCAAGCGATGACACACCCTTGCACACTCCAACATTCAACCCAACACAGTGACTTCACCCAGGAGAATCATGGTCAATAAAATGTGTTAAACTGCTCCTTGGTGGAGACAACATCCTTATTCATCATTAAGAAAGAAGGAAAATCGGGAGATAAGCAAAAGAGGCACTGTGAGGGGCCCTGGAGGCCAACTATACTTTCCACATTTAATGGGACTTAAAATTTTAACCTCCTCTGTAAATGTCTAGAACAGAATTAATTAGAATAGCCTAGAAATATTAAGAGATTCATAACCAAATGGTAATTCATATTAGGATAGTATTATGATATATTATCTTAAAATTCCACAATCGCATTTTTGTAATTAACTTTGAGGAATTTGTGAAGTGAGATATAGCATAATTGAAGCAGTAATCTTCAATAGTAATAATCTTGCTATTCAGATTTAGATTGTATCCTTTGTCTTCATTGGGGTTTTCTGTCTGTGGTGTGGTAATTCTTGAGAAGCCAAAGTAACCATGCTATCTCCATAGAAATCATGAATGTCAGTATTATCTGTACAGCTATTAAGTATTCAATTTGTATGGATTCCTATTTTTATAGGAATATTTTTAAAATATTATGCTTCTCAATAAAAAAAAAAAACAAACCTTTGAAGATAAGTAGTAATTCCATAGTAAGTCTTTTCATTATACTTTTTAAAAAAAGATTATTTATTTATTTATTTGACAGACAGAGATCACAAGTAGGCAGAGAGGCAGGCAGAGAGAGAGGAGGAAGCAGGCTTCCCGCTGAGCAGAGAACCCCATGTGGGGCTCAATCCCAGGACCATGGGATCATGACATGTGCCAAAGGCAGAGGCTTTAACCCACTGAACCACCCAGGCACCCCTTTTCATTATAATTTTTAAAGAAAAACTAATAAAAGAAGTATCTTCTGGAGGAGTTTTGGGAAATATTAGGCTTTAGTATAGGGTCTTGCTTCTGTACACACACACACACACACACACACACACACAGTGGCAGTTAGCTACAATATTCTTTACTTCTAAGTTTATACTTCTAGGTTGTTGACATCATAAGTTTTATATTCTATCAAACACATGAATTTTGAAAAAAAAATTAGGAAAGTATGAAGGTTTTTACATGCAATCCCAAAAATAAAGTTTGGAAGTTATGTTATAATTGATGGTTTTTGTAAATAATACCATGTAAAATCTACAGTAGTCTTTATTGTGTCAGATGTGACTCATGCCAATAATTTAGATGTGCTGGACATACAACGTTCTTTTTTTCTTTCATTTAGAAAAAGACTTGAATCCCCATTTTACTAGTGTGATGGAAACTTCACTTTTCTCCCCCCTCAATTTCACATGGTCTATGTCATGCCAAAAAGAATTGAAACATTCTGGTCCCTTGGTCATCTGCACACTTACATGTCCACAGAGATGCCCCTTGTTTCATTGGGTCCTCATGTGTCTCAGATGATATTGCTTTCATCCCAGCCCTCCTGGCCCCTTCATAACTACTCCTAATGCCTTCAGACCACTGGTGGGCAAAGGAATTTGTGCATGGCTATGGTGCCTAGATGCTTGGTGAGTTTATCACTCCAGGATCTTCCTGCTTCCCTGGACTCTGCTGTGGAATCTAGCCTCAGGACTCTGTAATCCCAAGCCGCTGGATTTCTCTGAGTTCTGCCCAACAAGCACGATGTAGTCTCTACCTCTGTTTCTTTCTTTCATCCCTTTCCTTTCCAGCAGGGCTGCATAAATGCTTTTAATATCTGGAGTTGGGGATCCTCACTGCATCTCTTGATAGTTTTCCACAAAGACATAATCCCTTCAACTTTTTTTTTTTCTCTAGTACCAACTGAAAAAAATAATCTGTGTAGTAGGTTCAGAACTTTGAAAAATAACAGAATGCCTTTTAACCATTCTCTATCTTGTCTCATCCTCATATATGCAATGATTATAAAGCCAGTACCTGTTTGAAAAGGCTAGGGTAGGTAAAGGGATATATACAAGTAGAAATATATATATATACACACTTCAAATTATTTTCATAAATAATTATATAAAATTATATTTGTGTTTATTGATAAAATAAAATAATCAGAGCATGCTATTAAATTATACAGTGAGTGGATATAAAAGTGATAAAAGAAATTATTCCTTTTTAATGAAGTAGTTTTAAAAATCTCATGATGAAGAACTTCAACCCATTAGTCATTGATTACTACATGAAACCGAGTTCACACAGGAAATCCAAGACACACACTTGCTTGGTATATTAATTTATAAAATGAACTGGTGCTCTATAAACTTCCAGTGGTGACCAGCGAGTTTGTTTCTTTATTCAGTATCATAAAAAATTTTTAAGAAAATTGTGGCTATATGAGTATGTGTTGCATTTTAAATGATATTAATAATTACTTATTTTGTTAGATGTAACAATGGTATTATAGCTTTATTAAGAGAAAATCTTTTATTGGTAGTGATGGATTGTGAAGAATTTATAGAAGAAACAAAATAATGTCTGGAATTTGTTTTAATGATACCCGAACAAAATACTACTAATGATGATGATAGTGATAGTAATCATGGGAATAAATTAAACAGTGAAATGTTAGTGGTTGTTGAGGTTGGATAATGGATGTATAGAGTCTTATTATACTGTGGTTTCCTAATTTTATACTGTTTTAAAATTCTCAAAATGCAAAGTTTATTTTAAGTATATAGTGGGAGACTGATATAAAAGTCAGAATCAATATATGAAATATCCAGGTT